CAGAAATCGTAAACCGCAAGCATCCACTCGCTCGTCCGAGGACTGGGAGAGGACAGACCCCAAACCCTCCAACACCGGGAGACCCCGCCCTAGAGCATGTGGAAGCTGAACAAGAGCAAAGTGCTTCTGGGCAACTCCCCCGAGGAGGAGGAGGGCCTGCGGGAGGGGAAGCCGCCGCCGCCAACGTCGGCACCCTCTGCAGCCGCACAGGTAGGGCTGGGGGGCCGCTCAGGGCCCGCCCTTTATTTTTCGCTCTGTCCGAGGCCGGGGACCCCTGAAGGAGAGAGCTCAGGTTTTCCGAGTGCTTCCCAGACCAGTTGGATCTTCTTGCCTGTGTCTCGGCGTGAGGCCCGGGCGTGCAGAGCCCCCAGTAGCGAGGAGTGTGGGGGGCTCGGGCGCCCGAGGTGGCGGTGCAGCCGGACGCGCTCCCTCCGGATGACTCTGCAGTTCAGCGCTCGCCCCTTTGCACCGAGCGGGGCGCTGCCGGGACGGGGCGTCGGGGGTAGTGGGCTATTGTTATTATTCTTAGAGGAGGGATCCCAGGGGTCCAGGCAGGGTGCTAGAAGCCTTTAGGAAGCCCAGCAAAACGATGCTATTGAAACACCGCCGTAAGAGCTTTCCTGTAAGGCGCGCGGTGTGAGCAGCACATCACAAGTGGTTATAATTACAAGAAGAAGAGCTGAGAGAGAAAACTTTTTTTGGGGGGGAGCTAATATATATTTTTACTTTTTATGTTTTCTTTTACTCCTGTACCCATGTAGCGCTTATTTCTCCCCCCTCCCCAGTTTTAATAAGAAAATGAACACTGATCTCATTAGCAGTTGAAGGAGTGTAAAGCCTGCCCCATTTTAGCTTATTTATTAATACGCGATGCAGTACCAGCAGGACGGGCCAATTTTAGGTTTCTGATGGCAGCAGGACTGTGATCTGTGATCGGGAAACACATCTCAAAGCACGTTCACAATTTTTTGTTTTCTTTTTTGAAAACAAAACAAAACCACACAACAAAACAGCCACTCATTGCCCTTCCTTTTCCGTTGAGTCACATAATGAAATATAGATTCCTGCAAGGGTATGTGTTCTTGTAGAATAGATACAGACTGGAACATTTGAAAGTTAAGTTCCATGCCAAGTGTTCCGACGTAGCTGTGTCTGATACTGGTGTGGAAATTACAGAGAAGCCCTGAATCATCGCAAGGGCTTGAGAATAAAAAGCTTTTGATGATCATAGCACATGCTTAAGTGAGTTAAAATATTTGTTGGGGTAGTAAGTATTTCCTTTTCTCAGACCTTTGATTTTCTTGAGGAAGAAGGCAGATGTCCTTTATACAGAAAGTTGAAAGGATTGACTTACACGTTTAAGGATAGCTTGGAATGTTTAGAATTTTTTTAATTAAAAGACTCACAGGTGGATCCTGTATGCATGATATATGCTTCCCCTCTTTTTTATTTTTTTCAAATCCAGTGCGCAGTTTTTCTGTGAAATTTACTATTTTTTGAAATGAAGACTATAGATTTCTTTTCCAAGCCCCCTTCCCCAGTAATACTTGGAAACTTTCTTTTAACAAGGTAAATGTGTTGTGGAAGTTTATAACTAAATGTATTTTTCTGAGGGCCTGTGAATAGTTCATTTACCTTCTTCCCCAGGTGAAAAAGAGCTTCTCATTGGAATTGAAGTTTTGAAGTTGTTTTATCATGATAGAGATTTCTTATGGAAGCTAAATCTAGGTTTTCAATTTCATGCAAAATGGACTTAAAAAGCATTGTTGTCCTTGAGCGCCATCGTGGCCCCTTGAGTCTGCTCAAAGTCATAGTGACCTTTATGTACAACAGAATAAGTGTTTAAGTAAGGCTACTATCTAATATATTGCTTCGGGGTCTGCCCTGCACAATGCAGCCTGAGGTTGTTGTTGTTATTGTTATGTGCCTTCGAGTCGCCTATGTACAACAGCCCTAAACTCCGCTCTGTCCAGGGCCAATCACACTGTCTCTGACATTCCCATCCCAATTACCTGTGTAAAATCTGACGATCAGCAAAAAAACTCTGCCTCGCTCCTTCCTCGTTTCCCAAAAATCCTTTCTGCCAATGCTTCGGGCCCAATTGGCACCATCAGCATGGATGGTGAAGAGATTGAGATAGTTAACAGTTTTAATTTACTTGGCTCCACAGTCAACTGCTCTTGGTAACAGCAGCCAGGAAATCAGGAGACGAATTGCATTGGGAAAGTCTGCTGTGAGGGACCGCTCAAGAGTACTGAAGAGCAATGATGTCAGGCTGGAGACTAAGGTGCACCTGATCCGGGCTATCGTCTTCGCAATTAGGTGCTATGCATCAGAGAGTTGGACAGCAAATAGGGCTGACAGAAAGAGGATTGATGCCTTTGAGCTTTGGTGCTGGAGAAGAGTGAGTATACCATGGACTGTTAGGAGAACAAACAGGTTTGTCCTGGAGAGGGTAAGGTAAGCCAGAGTGTTCCCTGGAGTCAAGGATTCTGAAGCTTTGTCTGACATATTTTGGGCATGTTGCAAAGAGGGACTGGTCCTTGGAAAGGGCCATCATGTTTGGCAGAGTGGAGGGGAAGCAAAGGAGAGGAAGACCTGTGGTGAGATGGATCGATTATGTGACTGGAGCCGTGGGAATAAGTGCATTTGAGATGGCTAGGTTGGCACAGGATTGAACAGCATTTAGAGCTCTTGTACATAGGGTCGCTATGAGTCGCAAGCCACTCGATGGCACACAACAACAACAACTATCTAATCATCTTTTGGTAGTATTAATGTTTTCTGTACTTTTAATTTTTTTATTATGAAAATTTTATGGTTACTCCAAACCCCAGTTTTCATTTTAGATATGATGAGAATTTAAATGTGGCCACTGAGTTACTTGGACTTGTTGAAGATCAGCAGATAATGTTGTTGCAGGTTGGATCCTTTGTATGTCCAAGGTTAGCTTGTTAAAGCTCCCCCACCCCCACCCCACTTTTCCCCTTTAAGTTTTGCTTTTGAAAAAGTTCTAACATACAGGTTGGGAGAACAAAACTGCACACCTATATATCCTCCATCTAGATTCAACCATTGGACTCACTTCGCCGCTTTTTCTTAAAGTTCTTTTTCTGACTTTTGGTTTTTATAAAAATCATCTATATCCTAGTTCTAACTGTAGTTTTTATGTATTTATAATGTAATGCATGGAAAAAAATGGCTATCAAAGGAAATTTTTAGGTTTGGTAAGTTAGTCATATTCTATATTTAGTTAATACCTTTGAAAGAATTTATTTTTTTGTATTAAACCCAAAGCCATCTTTTATAATGAACATTTAAAATTCATGACAAATCTACCATAAAACTTCTGCCTACAAAATCTTATTTTAAAGTTGAGAGAAGTAGGAATGAATACATGAGTAGGATTTAATGAATCAGTTAAATTCCCTCACTAGAAATATCAGTTCTTAGTTCAGTTTTATTTTAAATTTTAGTTTACCCTTCACCCTCCCAGAAAAAAAATCAGTTAGCTAGTCTAGTTTTAATATATAACTTGAGAGAGTAGACTTTCTCTTATTCTAAAAAAGTAGTTGCTGTCTTACCCAATATATTTCACTTGTTAAAAACCAGGTCAAATAGCTACAGTTTCTACCTTGTGTTATTTTTAAGATGCTAAAAAAATAGGTTAATGTTAGATTTTTATATGAGGCATTCAAAATCATCACTCAGATTTAAGAGATAATACAAAGTTATTGATAAAAGCCTTTAATACTGTAGAAAATAAATTTCACCTTCTTTTTGTGCCACTGGACTTTTTAGTCATAGACATATATATTCCATTAAAATATAACAGTGAATTCTGTGAGTGCATGATTTTTTTAGACACTTATTCAACAAAGAGGAATTACCTGGTTTAATGAATTTGCTGTTTATTTAGAAAAATAAAACTCATGCATATAATGTAAATTTTTTCATATGTCAGAATATTTAAAGAATGTCAAATGCCAATTTTCGTCCTTCTTTCTAGTAGGAAACATGAAGTTTTTTTATATCCAGCCATTGAATATCTGTGTATATACATATATGTATGTTTTTAAATTTTGGCTTTTCTACTCTACACATTTTTATGCACTTTGAATAATAATAATAATAATAATAATAATAATAATAATAATAATGATGATGATGTATATTATGAAGAGCTTTCCCTTACAGGACTGCCAATGCTACTACATTCTTTTTTAAGACTGTCGTGCTAAATGAGGGCGCTCTGGTGGTGTAGACCCTTGGAATGGTACTGCTCTCCCAAGGGCTGTGCCTCTCTGGCAGTTAGAGTTCATCAGCTGCTCTGCCAGAGAAAGATGGACCGTCCTTTCCTGTGTGATTTACAGCTTTGAGAACTCAAACTTATTGGTGGGAGGGTGATTCTTTGACATTAAATGATACAAAATAGTAGACCAGAGTTTATCTGGTTAGACCTCTTTCTGATGGCTCTTGAGGATCTTAAGACCTTTCTTTACCTCTGTCTCCTAAAATTTTTTTTGTGGGGTGTTTTTTTTTGTCTTCTAAAATTTTTATAGCCGTTTTAGAGAAGTCAGTAAAGATCTGACCATCTGATGAAAGTGCAACTTATGTTTTATTTGCTTCAAGGCTGGATTGTGTTAAGAGATGTAGCTAATTTAAAGCCAATACCTTTAAAAGAAAACCCTAGAGGATTTTGGAGAAATTTTCATTTTGTAGGCTTAGTTTAAAAGGCTTAAACAGGATTTTGTACACTCTGCAATAAAAAGAGCCCAGTCAGTGGGGAGTTGTGCTGCTAAACTCAAAGGCAGTGCCTTTTTGGTGGCTTGAATCCACTAGAGGCTCTGTAGGCAACAGATGGACAGTCTCCTCCCAGGTGATTTCTGGTCCTCTGGAAATCTTCTAGATGACTAGCTTCAGACTCGAAGGAATTATCTGTTTGTTGTCGATATTTGCTGCCAAGTCAGCTCCCAATTATGGTATAACACTTATGGTGACCACTTACGGTATAACAGAAAGAAAGATTGTATGATCCTGTGCTATCGTTACGATAACTGGTATGCCTGAGTTCATTGCTTTGGCTATTGTGTCCGCGCTTTCCACTGAGGGTTTCTCAGGTTTTCGTTGGCCTCTCTGCCAACCATGATGTCTTTCTACGGATTGGTCTTTCTTGATGTATCCCATCCTAAGTCAGTCATAGTCTTACC